TTAAACATTATGAATCTGGCAAGAAAAGTAAGAGAAATTCGGCAATAATTTTCCTTCTCATTATTGCAGCATTCTCTGTGTGTGTGTTGAGTGAGCAGTGCATTTAGCTATTTGCAGATCTTTTTAATATGTTATTATGATAATATCATCTTCTTTAGCAAGTCATTTTGAGTCTTAGGATCTGTTTTATTCTGTAAAGCTGTTTGTGAAAATATTGTGAAAATAAGTAATTTTTTGAAAGCTGCTGTCACTACGTACCAAAAAGTTAATGCTTCGTAGCAGTTTATAGCAGAGCTTACTTTTTAAAAGCTGTTGTCATTACTAATTTTGCATGGAAACTATTGAAGTTACCGTTTTCCAGCGAATGCAAATACGGCATATTCATAGTGGTTCCTAAACTGTTGCAAATAAATTAGTAGGTATTTAAACCGCTACGGTAAGTCCTAAAATGTGATGCGAAAGTCTGATTTATTAGTAGTATATTATAAACAATCACATGTTAGCAACTTTGGTGTAATGAACGGCTTTCCATGACAGAAATTTTCAGAAAGCAAGAAAAAAGTAGTAGGTAAACGGAGTTGTAATTGTGATATGAAAAACAAAGTAGTTAGAAAGTTGTCCCAAAAAGACCCTTATTAATCGATCATTTCATCAGCATGTTAGTTGAATTTGAACTGGTTTTCATGAGAGATGTAGCAGAAGTATAAGGAAAGCTAAAAAGAAATTATTTAAAAATAAGAACAGCATTAATTCTAAAGCTTATCTGTTAAGAATTTCAGATTTCTTCTGAACTTATTTCAGGAAAAAAAAACAAAAAAAATGGATTACTTGTCAGCAAAGCAAAGAACAAAAGAGTGTGTGATGAAGTAGCTGTAGCTCTCTCATTCCCTCTTCATTATTCTCTTGATTGATCATATTTTTGGTCTTAGCGATAAGACTTCCTTTGTTGTTATAAATTCAGTAATGTAAAGGCTCTTTTAGATGTTTATGGCAATAAATTAATTGCAAGTATTAAATTCATGCAAGAAAGCAAGAGAATTACTCCATATAAGGCAAGCAGGCTTCGTTTGGGATAGCTTTTTTGCTGTTTTGTAAAGCTGATTTTTAGTTAAAAAATCTCTTGAAAGAGAAAAAGTTATTGTCTAAAGCCGTCCCAAACGAAACCTAACATACATTTTCGTGACAATTATTAGAATGAAGCTAAATCTAGGGATGTAAATGAGTCGAGCTGGACTTCTAATTTGGGTTTGAGCCTGATAAATTAGTCGAGCTCGAGTTCTTGCTCGAAGAGCTTGAGCTCAAGTTCCAGATGAAAAAAAAATAATAATAATAATTTTGATTCAATCAGTTATTATGATAAGATAGCAAAAAAATTAAGAAATTGGATGAGAGATAATAAGAAATCAATTGATATAATAAAATATGATTTTTAATTTTCTATATCAACATTTTAATTAAAATTTTGAATTCAAATATATACCAGTGTATTTTATTCTAACATTTTTTTTTTTCTAAAAAACCAAATTCATTAGTTACTTAAACCTAACTCATTAACTCATTGAGCTCAACCCACAATTTATTTATTGAGCTAAGCCCAAATCAGCTCGCAAGTTAACTTGGCTCGATTACAACCCTAGCAACATACATTTATTATTTTTATTAAGAGTCCCATATATATAGACATTTGCATCTATTAATGATAATTTTTTTTTTCATATTTTCATAAATACAAAAATAACCTCGAAAATTAATATTAATTGATAAGTGTAAACTCTATCCACATTTATGTCACAAAAACATAAGAGCTTGTTATCAATTTTTTAGCATTTTATTTCACTATTTAGGACAAAGTTGTCATAAATCAATCATATGGTCCTACCACATGATTGAAACTAGACAAACTACTTTGAAATGGATGGTCTTGCTTTATTAGCATGATTTTTTATTTATTTTTCTCTTATGATGCCCTATGATAGCAAAGCTCTTATTTAGAGGCAATACTAAGACTTCTTTTGGGAAGGCCTTCTTACTGTTTATTGAAGTAGTTTTTTAGTATAAAAATTTTAATTTTATAATAAAAAGATACTTTAAGAAGCAGTAAGAAATTCGTCCCAAGGCTTCGTTTGGGACGACTTTCTTATTATTTTGTAAAGTTACTTTTTAGTTTAAAAATCTATTGAAATAAGGGAAAAAACAGTGGTATATTAAAAATCTATCAGATTGTTGAATTCCTTGCTGGTGGGGGTTTTCGGATTATGACTGGCTGGCTTTCCACTTGTTAATGTTGTGGGTTACTGTTTACACCATCTGGAGGGAGAGGAATCTGCTAAAAGCTATAAAAGGTGCTCCACTATTCAGGTTTTTATCAAGAAGGCTGTGGGGATTAAACCAGGGGGTGTGGAAGTTCTCAGAGGCCTTTTGTAGGCCTTTCACTTTGGTTTTCTTGGCATCTACTTATGCTGCTTACTCTTGGATTTGCTTCATTTCTCTGTTTGCTTCGCCTGATTTGATTCAAGTTGATTTTTTCGATCGGTTGGGGGTGATAATTAATGTACGGGTTGCATCCTCTTCCCCAAGACGGTGCCTCTTGCAACTTATTCAGCAATTCTGGCAACTGGTGGAGGGTGTAATCCTTTTCTCCTGAGTCCACGCCCCTGTGGGCTTCACCCGCTAGTTTTTTGTTCCTGTTTTTGGGTACTTTTTTTCCTTTTTCTTTTCGACATGTGTATTTTTGAACCTCTTGGTGAGCTCTCCCTTTTGTGCTTTCCACAATTTTGATTTTTTGTTACTTCTTTTTACACATGTAACTAGCGATTTTTTCCCTCTTTAATGGAAATTGGGCTATTGCCCTTAATTTTCCCAAAAAAAAAAACAAAAAAAAGTGATCTAAAGCTGCCCTAAACAAAACCTTAGACCAAGCTCCAATTTTTATATGAATTAAAATCAAATGTCTCCTCTTGTTCATGTAAGTCATCACCATCCAAAACATATTGTTTGTATTTTTGAAGCATTGAGGACATAATTTATTTAATTGTTTAATTATTTACTATAATTTAATAATATAATTATTTTCAATCCCATGCATGCACTTAACTACACTTTGTTATAAGTCTCTATCAACCTAACCACTTTCATATCCTTCAAAGCTTTGGCTTTGGGCTTTGGATACATTGAAGGCATTCTTTCATAATTAAAATTCCAAGCGGCATCACCAACCATTATTAAAATGAGAAGGTTGGATACCATTAGAAGCCATGTGAAATGATTCTAATAAATTTAATTTGTTGATTAGTTAAATAATTAATTAATTAATTAACTCCTAATATGAGGTTTAATTAATTTAAAAATAAAATTATAATAAGCTTTTAAATGTGAAATGGAATTATATCCAAGTGTTGGATTTGACTTTTTAATAAAAATGGGTTTTGTTGGGTTTGGATAATTTTAAATTAATTTCATGCGATTGGGCTCTTTAAAAAAGGATTAGCAAATGCATGCTTAAATTATAGTTAAAGCTTTATTTTTTTAATAATCGGTCAAAAAATTATTATTTTTTACTAAAATCATTAACTTAAATTAAGTTGATTATATATCACAAATTTAGGAAAAATTACCGGCGTCTTATATCCGTCGGAAGACATTTTCCGGCCCGCATCAAAACAGCGTATGAAATTCCGACGGAAATGCGCTGGAAACTCAGTCTTTCCGTCGTATTTTATATATCACCGGCGGATTTTGTTCGCCAGTAATATCGATTTTTCCTGTAGTGACACTAAATAACTAAAAAATATTTTAAGTATTTTAGAAAATAATTAGAATATATGGAGATGCATATAAAAAGCAAGGGCATGGGCAATTTGACTAACGGAATCAGATTATTCAAATTGATCTTATAATCATATTTAGATTAGTACTGCCACTAAACTATCTAAATATACTAAGATTTTTTTTTGAAACAACTTTCATACTGCTTTTTAAAACAACTTTTTAGTAAAAAAAATTAAAAAATTTTATTAAAAACTATTTTAAAAAGCAGTAAAAAATCCATCCCAAACGAAGCCAAATATTTAACATAAGAGAATTTAATGAATCGTGATCATAGTCTACTTTCAATGGAGCAAACATACTCCATGGGATATGCACATGAGCGGATCCCCACTCATATGATTGCCCACCCTCAAAACTAAAATTTAATTTATAAGAGGGGTAATTTTGAAATTTTGCCCACCCCTCAAAAATAAAATTTTGCCCTAATATGACCCATCTCACATTATTTGCCCATCCAACCGAAGTTTTGAATATTTCCTCTTTGCAAATAAATGATAAAAATTTTCTTATAAATTTGATAGCATTATGTTGGTTAAAATTTTTTAAAAAATTTTTTATTATTATTATTGTTTTCATCTAATTAATTAAAATTTTACCCACCTTGAAAAAAGAAGCTAGATCCACCCTTAGGTATGCATGATGCAAAGTTATCTATCCTTATATCTTCATAAATATGCTCATTAATTTATTATTTTGGCAAATTAATTAGCACATTGAGCTTAAATCCTCAATGTGAAGTTTGACTATTATCCATTAAAGCTTCATTTATGGCCGCTTTCTTACCGCCTCTTAAAGCAAAATTTGCCACTTTAAAAAGCAGTAAAAAAGCCATCCCAAACAAAGCCCAAGTCTCAACCTAGTTTATGAAATGTAACATTCCTAAATATTTGTTATCTCATTAGGTATAACATTGACATACATTTAGTGCACAATAGTGCTATCATTATTGTCCTTATCTAAGGCTACAATTTTGTTGGCAATCCCATGAGATATCACATCCCTCCTAATGATCATAGACGAAGAAATCATTCTGTGAGGACAACGAACCGTTCGGAGACGAATGAGAGAGCTTTCATTCGTCTCCAGTCGCCATCCGATGTCCGCACAGAATAATTAATCTCATAGATGACATGGAACTTCTATAATAACCCAAAGATTAAGAAAACAAGCTATTTCAAGCCCATAATTGCAACCTTGCACTATAAATCTGATGTGTAAGTATGGATAGCAGCCTGACTATGAGTCACAGATCTACAAATGGTACAGAAATAGATTTTGTTTCTTGATATTTCTCCAATTTGTAGCTAAATAATCCTATTTAGTAAAGTCTTTCTGATCATCTGCTATGCCTGTTTCTATAATTTTCTATACAGTTTGATCTGAAGCATAGAAGTAAATTTCATATTTACAGACCTGGGTTAAATGCATCTGGAAGTCAAGCATTGGAAGCTGAACAGTAAGTTTCAGTCTTGATCACCCGAGTGTTATATGAGCCGCAGAAATTACATTTGTGGTAGAGCCAGTGGAATCGAGATGTTCCCTTCTTGTCACAGTCGTTGCACAGTATATCCTGAATAGAGAGTTAGCATGAACCTTCTTAGTAATCGCAAAACTCTCAATTGTTTCTGTTTAAGGTTTCGTTTGGGACGGCTTTCTTACTGTTTCTTAAAGCAATTTTTCAATATAAAAATTTTAGGAAAATTTACGTACATACCATTTTATACCATCCTATTTACATATCTAACAGCTAAAACTTTAATATTACATTCATACCACCCTATATTATTTTAATATCAAATATGTCACTCATATTTGATATGAAAATGAATTATGGGTGGTATGTAAGTAATATTAAAATTTTAGGTGTTAAATATGTAAATATAGTAGTATAGTGTGGTATGTATGTAAATCTTCCAAAATTTTATTTATTGCAGTAAAAAACTGTGCGGTAAGAAAGCCATCTCAAACGAAGCCTAAGATAAACTACTAACACATGGGAGAGTTTTGCACCTGGCACTTGTCTCTGTATTCCTCAGGTGGAGAAAAAGGATTCATGTAGCCGACCCCACGTAGTGGGATAAAGGCTTGATGTTGTTGTTGTTGTTATATCAAATACGACACTCAATATTTTCTTCATACCACTCGTATTTTTCATTTGTATCACTCATATTTGATATGAAAATGAACTATGGGTGGTATGTAAGTAATATTAAAATTTTAGATGTTAAATATGTAAATATAGTAGTATAGGGTGGTATGTATGTAAATCTTCCAAAATTTTATTTATTGCAGTAAAAAACTATGCGGTAAGAAAGCCATCTCAAACGAAGCCTAAGATAAACTACTAACACATGGGAGAGTTTTGCACCTGGCACTTGTCTCTGTATTCCTCAGGAAGCTCTTCAGCTGCCAGTAATGCGTCGAGCATGCCGAAATATACCTGCGCATATCAAAATAAAAATGCTACAATGATCAATTTGGCAAGTGAAAGTGGTGGGTAAAATGCGGTCATTCTTGGAGAAGAGCAATGTAGTAGGGCCAAATAGAGAGAATACATGTGGTTTAGCTCATTATAGATCACATCAAATAATGGGAAAATCAAGAAGTATCAAATTTTTCTTTATCTAAAATACATGACTTTTTTTTTTATTCAAAAGATTAAATTAGATTGTAATTTCAGCAGGATTGAAGTAAAAAAGTTTCAAAAAGAGTGAAATTCTCGAGTTAAAAAACCGAAAACTCAAACAAATTGATAGGCAAAGTTCATGAAATATCTAATACAGCTAGTTACGGGAATGATTTCTAAAAGGAGTGTAAACATTAGTAGAGAGAGGCTTGTGAGAAATCTCTGCACTATTAGATTTGGGCTTCAGTTGGGACGATTTTCTTACTGCTTCTTCAAACAATTTTCTAATACCAAAAATAAGATTTTTGTACCTAAATGCTGTTTTAAGAAGCAGTAGAAAAGCCGTCCCAAATGAAGCCTTGATCGAGCACATAAAATAGGATAATCGAGTAGGAAAGCAAGCGGTTACAAGATTCCTTAATATAACAGAAACAATACAATAAAACAGGATATTGACAAGGTTTAGAGCCATTCTATCCAGTGTAAACGCTAAAAGAAAAACTAACTATTTTCATCAATGGTAACAAAGGTTGGAAAAATTACCGCCATATCTCCTAATGATTTGCTACAAATAGGACAGGTGTAGTGGCTGCAAGTGTATGCCTGTAGATAGCACAGTAAAGATCGTTAGCCATTAGTTTATTTGATCATCTACATATCACAAGAAAAGACAAAAAATATAAGTTAAATAAAAGTAAAAAATACTAGGGCTTCGTTTGGGTCGGCTTTCTTACTGCTTCTTAAAGCAGCTTTCTAGTATTAAAATTTTAATTTTTGAACTAGAAAGCCGCTTTAAGAAGTAAGAAAGCCGTCCCAAATGAAGCTTAGCTCAAAATGCCTACAAGGGGCGAAACACAAAATACTACTCAGTCATGTAAGTACCTGAAAGCAAGCTGAGTGCATAAAATGACCACAAGGTAAAGCTCTTACTGCAGCACTTGATGTGAAAAGAAAATCACAGCAAATGGGACAGTTGGTTTCAAGTCCCTTTTCTCTGCATTTATGATCCACTAATTTCATTCCAAGGCAACAGTTACATGTCATGCAATGAAAAAAGTCCACGCCAAGTCCTCTACCAACACGACACAAGTTGCAGAAGGGACAGTGATAGACCATCCTGAAATAATAGTACATTTCTTGAGCAAATAGTTATTGTTAAATCCAATCTCATGCCTTCAAAATGTTCGTGTTATTACACCTCTTATGAGGCGTTCTTGTCGTGGAAAATGCAGATGAACAGGAATTACAATTCACATCGTGTGATCAACAAGAACTTTTGATAAAAAAAATTTATACAATCATTCTTTCTCAAAAAGGATGTAATGGTCTTTTTCTCCAAATAAACAATCTGAAGATATCAGCTACTAGAGAAATAGAATTTCAAAGCTGATAGCAGTCATGATTAGAAACAGCAGGAACTTCATATCCTTAAAACCCCCATAGCTAAGCATATTTTTCTAAATCTAGACCACTTTGTACTTGCCCAGTATGAAATTGAGTAGTTCCTTTTTACTTGTTGACAATCATAACAAATGAGAAATACACAAAAAAAATACAAAACAACTTCAGGTCACATACGACTACTTTTTCCACTTACCTTTCATCATCAAAAAATTTACAGATGTTGCAGAAGTACTTGGCCATGGAAAATCCATTACAGGAAGGCGTTTTACAGCTTGCTGCAATTGGCTGAAGTTTTAAGCAACGCATGCACATCATTTCCAAAGTTGCTTTTCTGCGGTGAAACAGAGAATGTTAAGTCACAATAAAATTAAAGCTCTAATATCTTAAAATTACAAGGCCGCTATATGATTGCAAGGTAGTCTCATAAGTTATAAACATTTACAGGAGACTGGGAACAAAAATCCATGAAAAATATGTACGATGTGATTTTTTTTTTTTTTGGTTATATCAATTTAAATTTCCACAATATGGTATACGTACAAATCCCCACAAACGGCTATGTTTATTTCCTCAAAGTTTAAAATTAGAAGCACAAATTAAAGCTTACAATCGAAAGAAACAATCAAAGTTAATAGAATTTGAGGTTTTCTGTTGTTAACCCAGCATTTGAAGCATTTTTAAGAAATACATAATAATAATCTAAAAGTAAGTTTTCCTGTTGAACGGATTATTGTCACCGTTAAGAATAATTTCAAATTTCAATGTTAAGCAGAAGAGATCCAGTTCAAAACTAACCATGGTTAATATTTATCAAATGCCTTTTTAGGGTACTGACAATGTTACAGAAAACAAGCGAGGCAAAAAATATAAAGGTACTTTATTCACCAGTAATCAGATGGTTCTAGAAAAACATGATTCTATTTGCTACTATTCTATAATTCCTTCCTTTATTCTTGGATTTATAAAAACTCTTCAGTTGCTCTCCTCCATTTAATTCCACAAATTGAATAAGTTATAAAATCAATACACAAGGGTAGATTGAAGTTAAATGATGAAAATAATTGAAAAAAGGAGCTTTCTACCATTTTTTATTAGAGTAGAAACCTCATAGAATTCACTAATTGTACGTAAGGCATCTTGTTCATTTCTTTATGCTCATAGATAATTAAATAAGCTTGAAACAAACCTTTAAAGATCAACATATAAATGAATATATTTGAACAGTGACATAGTAGCACAATTATACTCATGAACACACTTGTTTGTACTTTAACAAGTAGCTAGCAAAAAGCTTGATAATATGCCCATTTAATAATGACTTATACTTATTTGATGATTAATTATATTTTAGGTATTTTAAAAGGTATAAATATAATTAAAATATTGAGTAAATAGCTAGGCGGATGGATTAAAAATTAAGTTTTATTTTGATTGACATTGGATGATGAAAATATTGAAATAAAACCATATGGATGAATAAAATATAATTTTATTATTTGTTAAATCTCAACCCTACGATCCCAAAGATATCCACGGCTGTGAACAGTAATCCGTGGGAAGAATACATGGATTGCATTAATTCCTCCCACTAATTTAGGAATAATTGTATTCATGTTATTATTTGTTTCCTTATTGATACACCTTGTATAGATCTATAAATAGGGAGTTGATGGCTTAATAAAATTCAAGCTTTTCCTCTCGAATTCTAGTTTTAACATGGTATCAGAGCCGATCGGGAGGCCTTCATTGCCGAACGATCCAACCTTCTGAAGCTGCAAGAGCGCGACGCAGAAGTGTCGATCCTCCGTCGATCCCGACAGTTACTACTGCAGGCGGACACCTCGACTTCGATCGAAGGAGCCGAGACGAACAGCCACGAAGGAAACGAAGGAGCAGTCATACCCATTTGAAGCGTTCCGTGCGGAAGATACTTCCGAAGCCGATCGGAAGTCCGTCCCGATCGACTACTCTCCCACTCGATCGACAGAACCGCACGAGCATCTTCCCACGTTCGGTGGAGGAACCCGTTCCGATCTCTGATCCGGCTCGGTGGAGGAGCCCGATCGTCGAAGGAGAAGAGTCGAGCAGCCGACCCGACTGGAAGGGAAGATCGTCGAAGGCGCCTGGTCCGCCCTCTCTTCGCGCGTACCCTAAGCTCCCCGGCCCGATTCTTTTAAAGAATTGGACAGTCGGTTTTTTAGTAAAACCGACAAGGTTTTGAGAAAAAAAAAATCTATCATCGGCCTTTATTGCCGACAACTAAAATCGGGGGAATTTTTTGGAAGCCTTCATTGCTATCCAAGAGAGTTTTTGATAGTCTTAATCACTATCATAATGTCAGAAATCAATTCCTCTGAAAGTATTGACCAGACGGAGGAATCGATAGTGCACCAAGTTCGAGGTGATCTTCAAAACATACAACCTTCCTATCGTCTAAATGGGAAGAACTACCTGAAGTGGTCTCAGTTTGTGAAGACCTACTTGAAGGGGAAAGGTAAAATACATCATCTCATTGGAGGAGGACCGAAAGAAGGAGATCCCAAATTTGGGGCATGGGATGAAGCAGACTCCATGATTATGTCATGGATGTGGAACTCCATGATTCCAGAAATTAGTGACACATTTATGTTCCTTTCAACGGCAAAGGACATATGGGATGCGGCCAGACAAACTTACTCCAAAGCTCGTGACGCGGCCCAAATCTTTGAAGTTAAAGTCAAAGTTGGAAGCACGAAGCAGGGGAATAAGACCGTGACGGAATATGCCACCATTCTACAAAATCTGTGGCAAGAACTTGATCACTATAGGTGCATTGAAACCAGATGTCCGGAGGATGCTGCGATCCTAAAGAACTTCATTGAAAAAGATAGAGTTTATGATTTTCTTGCAGGACTCAATGCAGAATTTGATCAAGTTAGAGTTCAGATCCTCGGCAAGGAAGAGACGCCATCACTCAACGAAACCATTTCTCTCATTCGCACAGAAGAAAGTCGACGAGGAGTAATGTTAGAACCAAAGACAGTTGAAAGCTCAGCAATGGTGATGAACAAAGAATCGTCATGGAAGGAGAAGGGTAAAGATCCTTCAAAGTTCAAAGACAAGGACTCACTTTGGTGCAGCTACTGCAAAAAGTCAAGACACACAAAGGAAACGTGCTGGAAAATACATGGTAAACCCCCCAGCAAGGAGTGGAATCAAAAGGGTGAACCAAGGAGCACATCACATGCCAACAACACTACAAGTAAGCCAGAAGCACGGTCCAATCTTGGAGAATTCAACAAAGAAGATATTGACAAATTAAAACAACTCCTGGTATCTCTTGAAAAACCAAATGCTTCTTCTTCACTTGCACTCTCAGGTAAGACTCCAATTTCTTTCAGTTTGGATGCAGGCGTTGGGGAGAGGGTTTTGACGTGTTTACTAGTCTGAGCCACCTTCGTGTCCCATCAATGCACCTAGTGAATAAATAGAAACCTTCAATTCTAAGGTAAATATATTGAAGTAATAGCGTTCCAAGAGGAATCAATTCTTAAATTATTAAAAGGTTAAATTATTAAAACGATCAATGACAATTCCTACAAGTTTGGCTTTTTCAGTAAGTATGATATTAATGCTTCCGTTGATATTTCTGATTTAAGCCCTTTTTATGCTACTAGGTCAACTATTTGAAGAAAAATACTTCTGACGGAGAAATTTTTCAGAAAGATCAAAGGAACATTTTATGCTAGCTGGAAGCTCCCGAAAAGTCAAAGGAATAAGTATATCCTCAAATAGTCATTTGCATAAAAAGGACTTAAAATCGAGATGCAACCTTAACCTAAAGTAAAATCTTGAATTTTTTCCCATACCACTTAATTCTCACTTTTTTGTTTCATATTTTTTATTTTCATTTCTAGGCGTGGGTATTGTCACTGATTGATAACCAGTTGCAAAAAATGTAAGCTTGCTAATACCACAAACAATAATTTTCATATATTACTGAATTCAATAATAAAAGTTAAATTTATGTAGGATAAAAGTGTTCAACCCATAAATACAATATCGCAATTTATTAACAACTTCACAGTCAATCAAGCATGAAAAATAATAAGAAAAAAATGTGCATTGGTTCACCGTATAAGCATTGCTACCTTTCCATGGAATGATCACTGACTTTGTCATGGCAGAACCGGCAAGTAAACAACTTGTTACAGCAAACTGCTAGGAGCTTGCAGTTTCTTTTGTAGTGCTCACAGCCATATGTTTTCTTCTCAGGATCTCGGAATGATGGGGAAAATCCCAAGAGATCTTCCCCGTCTCCTTTTTTAGCTTGAGGCAGCTTTTGTTGAGCAGCAATCCAGCGGCTATAATGAATATAGAACAATTTAAATGATTGACATAAAGAGAAAATCTCTTTTGAATGCGTTAAACAAAAATGTAAATTTAAAATGCAATTTTATGAGATTTAAAACCTTGTCATAAGATTTTGAATAAGATATGCTTTTCTCCGTGGATCAAGTGTTGGGTCACTAGAGACCTTCCGTATCTCAGCCTCAAGCTCATTCTGATTCATTCTAAAAATATCTTTCCATCCAGGCTTGAACATTTGGCCATTTTGATCAAAATTTTCTTGGCAATCAGCTCCTATAGAGCCAAAAAGAAATTTCCATTCAGACAAAGCTAAAGAAAAAATATATTATTAAAAAAAGATAAATATACACCTTCTGGAAGACCGCCATTCTGTGTTTCATCCTGTGAACAACTTGGAGCACCCTTCCACCATTCATTTAGCCACTCATTGAACATAGTATTTTTTGTTGCCTGCCTCCACATATCCATCATCATGTTCTGCTCCTCTTGCGTGAGTGCTGAAGTAACCCATGGCAACATTGACTGTAGAACCTCTGCTCCAGTTGTTCCAATTATACGGCCAACAATCTTATCCTGCTCCTCAATAGAAAAATGTTTATCAAATAAAGGCCACAACTCAAGTTCTTCTCTAAAAATATGTTGGTCCAGCGAAACTCGTATTGATTTACACATGCCTTGAAGCTTTGTAACAAGTTCATTATGCTTCCTTTTCCAACTTGGGTTAGTTAATGCTTCAGTATTGGCGTCTATCCTTGTTAGGCCATCATGCAATTGTGAAAGTTCTGAAAGAACATCAGATATATCGTTAAACAGCTTCTCCTCCTGCTTGTGATCAAGAGTATATGAATGGCTAACATTGTGAAGTGACTCTCTCGATTCTAAAGCAGGGAAAACAATGTCATCTTCGGCATTGCTATGAGCTCTATACAAGCCCCACAGTAAACGAAATCTTCCACTGAATTGCCGCAGAAAAGCTTCACCACAGTTTATAAGTTTTCCCGATTCAACATCAAGATACTCTAAATCTTTACGGATTGCTTTATGAAACTTAAAAATGTTATCAATTGGTCTCACAGCATTCTCCATACTGGATGATAATGTATCTGTTTCCCAGAGAAAGAGACTGGAATTTAGAGGAGCTGTTGAGTTGCAAGAAAATGACCGGAGCACTTTCCCAGAAGCAAGGGAACTAATTCCTAAATTGCTGCTGCCATCAACCCCTAATTTAGGGATGCGGCAAGCTGTAACACACGACAAACTTTGAGTCTCTTCTCTTCTTAATTCATCACCATTCCTAGAATGCAAGCATAATATTGATTGATTGTCTCCATGCTTCTGTTGTTTGATCTGTAATTGTGCTCCAACTTTGTCGCTGGGTACGCAGGCACATGAACAAAATCCAGAACTAAAATCTGCAACTCTCTCATTCTTATCCTCTAACAGACAGCAACCAATAGCCGCCTCGGGAGATAAACATTGAAATTTACGACAATCAGAGATATCCGGGGTCCGACCCTTGCATGCCCAACCATAGAAGAGAGTCACCAGTGCAGAATCCGATGATGGTGCTGCATCACATGAGTAAGATACTGCTTGGAAAAAAAATGCAGGATATAATAATAGCATCCAATAGAAAAGGATGGCATACCAACCTGCAAAACACATGTTATGGAGAAAAGCCCTTGCCTCTAACTCAGTAAGCTCTGAAACCAACCAAGGTAGAACACGCTCTAATAGTCTTAGAGGCATTACACACAAACTTTTATACAGCAATTCCCGTTGTTTATCTGGAGAGAAATGCCTCCTAGCAAGAGGAAGAACCTAGAATAATAAAATAAGATAAGCATACTGATGCATTTGCTAGAAAATAATTCAGTTTATGTATGCAGGCAAAATCAGGCCAATTTAAAACACCATTGTGGATCACAAGTCCATATGAGAATGAATGAAGGTCAACATTACGAGGCAAAGTCAAACTCCATTAGCTTGAATATATTTCATTTTATGCAAGCAAAATCAGATCAATTTAAAAAACCATCGGGGATCACAAGCCCGAATGAGAAAAGATGAAGGTCCATTAGGAGGCAAAGTTTTTATGATGAAAATTATGATGAGATATAATCAGGCCTACCTCAACTTCCTCACTATGAAAGTGCTTCTGAATTGCTTCCATAATCTGATCAGCATATAAACATAAATTTGAATAAAAATCAACAGTGCTTGAATTTGTTCCTGCACTTTTGATTTCTTCAATTAGAAGTCTAAATTTGTTAAACTGATTTTCCTCTTCTGCATGCTCCTGTACAAAAGAAACTTGCCCATCTACAGCTGGAAAAATAACCTGATCTTCCGCAATGCTGCATACAATATAAATATTAGCCACCACCATCATCCTTATACATACCAAATGGAGTGACCGTAAATGGTAAAACCAGAAAATTCTTTTGTCAACTAAGTGCAAACAATTTCTTACCTCATACTACTGATATTTGGTAAATGGAGGCACGCAAAAAGTGAAACAGAAATGGTGACTAGTACAGAGGTTTCAACTACTAAACATCCCCACAAAGCATAAAGAAATATAATTGAAATCAAATGCATGTCAAAGCTTACATAGCCGGAAATATTAAAGATGCTGGAGGGCAACACATGATATTTGCATATTAGCAAGACAGCAAAAAAGCAATGATATAAGTCTGATCATATTACCAGTAAGACTCTCCCTCTCACAGATTATATTTTTCTCCTTTATTAACCTTAAAATGTTGATCTTTATGCAAACCTCAAGTCACAAAATATTAAGATGGCACGCCTCTCCTCTCATCATCATCATTAGAACTGGGGTTTGTTCTATGAATCCCTATGTTGCACCGATACACCTATTTATGAAGGCGTGCTGTATCCGATACACCGATTCATGGATACGCCTCCGATACTCCACCGATACGTGTCAGATACGCCAAAGCCGTATCCAATTAAAATATTATTTAATTTCAAAAGGACAGGCGTATCCGATACGCGTGTCCGTTGAAAAACAAAAAAAAATCTGAAAAGAAGACTTGTATGAAAATGATTTTGACAACTTCTATACATTTTATCTTCGGTCTAGCCTTTCACTTTTCTAATCATCCAACCTAATTTTATTTACCAACCTAATGGGTATACTTTTTACCCTTTACAATAGATGTCAAAACCGTATAAGTATATATTTAACTGCATTAACTTCAATATATTTCAATATACGTCACTCTGCTTAAATTTATCATCAACTAAAATAACAATATCTCTGAGAAGACAAGCTAAGTAGAAACTTCAGGGTGAAACCCAAGCAATTGAGTCCTTAAACAAATGAATACCTATTGAACTTCCAAATAATTCCTATAGAAAAAATGAAAAATAGGACTAAATACAAACACAACGTATAAATATATCATACAATTCAGTGCCAGTTCTTTATAGGATTTAGAGTTAGAATTAGTGAGTTTTGAAGTTTTCCTCCCACAGTATAATAGTACAACATTCATATTATTAATTTAAAATATTGATATTCATGAAAACTATAATATTATGGAAATCAGAACCTTAAGTCACTATCCATGTAAGATGGCAAATGCCTTTAGAAGCCAAATCTCCAACAAGGTTGAAAATTTCAAGATGAGCTTCATGACTTGAATTACAAAAAAGTCCTTTTTAAGAAAAGGAGGAATAAACACAAGTAGATGACTAATAAATACAAAGCACTAATTATCCCTTTGATAGAAAAAGAGTTACTGTTGACAAGAAACCATAAAAATAGTGGATCAGCATAGAATTACAAGAAGCCTCTTACCCATGAAAGATGCAAACATCAGCAATAAATTGCAGTCTTGCATCAAATTTGGAAAGGTTTTGGAAATCTCCAGAAAGTTGTATCTTCTTTGCCTCCGCTGTGATATCATTCAACTCATTCTTGATTGCATTATGCCAATGCAATATCTCATTTATTGGATGAGGTCCAAGAAAATCCACAGGCTCGCAGTCCATATCTACATGTTTTCGCTTTCGATATCTTAAGTTTTCAAATGACAACCCCTTTTTTTCTGATTGGCCAGGCAATTTGCATGAACCACTATCAAAATGTCGCTCAGACTTCGAATCATTTCTATGAGTTTGGCTGATAATGTTCATATGTTTGCCTTCCAACCAGGTGAATATCACCTAAACAAATAACAGTGTCAGCATGCCATTTAAATTAAACTAAATACACATATATAATGCTCAATAAGGAAATTTTACTTCTTGGAGAAGCTTTTCTTCTGGAACAATCTTCAAAAAACATTTTACCATATCCTGATGTTCATCGGATGAAACACAAGAAGATAGCCAAGGGAGAAATTCCGCCATCATATTCACAGGGATGCTACAAAAAAATTGCCATACCAGATCAGCCTGCTCTTCAAATGAAAACTTCTCTATGAGCAATGGAAAGACCTGCAACATAAACATACGCAACAGCAGTGTGAATATTTTAGCATTTGAAAGAATGCACAATCAACAAGACTAAGGCTATAAAATATGAACTAATTGCATGTAAGAAACAAATACAGTTATTCAAGGGCACAAAAACATGTATATCAACATATAATAAAATTGTATGCTTTGATTTATGCAAGTCAATCAACAAATCAATATTACAACATGCAAAAAACCAACATGTACTAATATCCATATAAGCAAGTCGCCATGCACCAGTATCCATATAAACATGTCCACATGTAAGTGGATCAAGTGTGACTACTTAATAATAGAAGAAATATCTAAGATAGCAAAATCTTTCCAAACTAAATAAACTAAAGAAGATAGGAGTTAGAAAGTTAGGAGAAAAAAGTGATCATGGATGAAGTTAACACCAGAGAACCAATGGCCTAATTTGTCATATTGCTACCGGCAACAAATTCAAAATCAATGACATAAAAAGTGCATGAGATATCCAACAATGCAGGGTCGGAATGATAAATGTATGCAGGCTTAACCCAAAATTAAAGAGTAGCTATTCCATCTTAAAAGGATCCATGTTCCTATGGGCATCAAACATGATATAAAGCCCAGTCATGATGATAGGAGATAAAGAAACAACCTAACCAGTAATTCAATCCTGCCTTCAAAACCTCTAAAACATAATTCGGTCAATTTTTGTAGTTCATCTCAATCTAAAATATGATAATTTATTTATTGCATTCTATTTAAGAGGGAGAGGGTGATGCTTAGGCCAGTGTATGGAAAATAAAATGTTAACTTTACAAAAGAATGAACAGAAAACACGAAAGCAATTTATGTATAAATAAATGATAAAATAATTTCTACATAAATATTTGCAAATAAACAAACCTGCTCCTCCTCCTTAGACATATGCTGATTAAGTGATGTCTTAATAGCTCCAGTACGAGAAGCAAATTCTCTCCAAAATCTATCATCACCTTGTATATCCGACCCTAATAGGTCAAACAATTGACCAAAGAGGTCACTTTCTCCTTCATGCTCAAGTGAATATGTCCTAGCTACATTCTTCACCCTGTTATCAAGAGCTGGAAAAATAACCTGACATGTGAAAAGAGAAATTTAGCAAAAACTAATTAATTTAAATTTTCTCAAATATTTTGAATATTATATGTTTTACTGAAATAAATGTTTTTTTTTACTCTAAAGAAATGAGTTTATTCATATTGTTATTACGATAGTTATTGAAGTTGCATAGAACTACGAGACAATTGATCAAGTCAAAGAGTAGCTGGTTCAACAGAGCACTCAAAATATTGTTAAATTATATTTTAAGTACCTCTAGATATATTATAATAACTATATTTTAAATAATTAGTACTTGATAGATGAATTTGAGGTTTTATTCTTTTTTTTTTAATTAATTTAGTTGGAAGTGCCAAAATGCCATTAAGTCAATCAAATTCAGTGTTCGTAAAAGAGAAAAAAGATTACTATTTCAATCCATGTCTAACTAGATTGATTACAATAGCAGTCCTATAAAACAAACAAATCAGTGCAATTTTTAGTTGAATCGATCAAAACTCTACATACACTTCGGATTTATAGCTATGATCCTAAGCAATTTGTAAACCGCATGATTGGCCTTGATAATAGTGTAATGGAATAATAATAGAAGACGACAGTATGCAGTCAAGGGCTTTTTTCTTCACTCTCCAAACTTATAAATTAGCAAATATTGATCATAACGACCATATAGCTTAAAAAGCTTACAAAAATGACTTAAATATGTGCACATCATCAATTAACTCAATAATTGTATGTTTAATATGTTCTTCAGTTAATCTACTCAATTTTGTAGAAGAATAATTTTTTCCCCATAAAAAAAAAATCTATATGTAAAAAAACTTATTTAAAAACTATTCAACTGCAGATTCAAGAGACATGTAACTTAATAACAAACATTAATTCATATCAGCAACCAGATTGCATTCTCACGGCATTTGGCTAGCACTAATCTATGGTTATTGGAAGTTTAGCCTTCCTCAACAGCAAAACATTGTCATTGTATGCAATTATACACTATGGCGGCCATATATTTCACAGATTAAACATGCTAGCTAAACTTAGAAATATCAACCTGCCTCAGACTCCTCTTAGACACTAAGAAATCTCAATACTTGCCACGCACCCCCAATCACTAGTTGACTACTGATAAACTGACTCAATAAAGCATATTCCCTCATTACCCCTCTAGTAGCATATTAGAACATGGAATTTGAGGTGGCTTTAGAGATTCATGTCTTAGAATTCATGTGCATCAGATTACATGCCTCTTCTTTCCTTCTCAATTTATGTGAGTTTTCTTTTTGGATATGCTTGACTACGGTTAGAAGCAATATAAAGATCTCTCTTGGTTCCTTTCATACTCCCTGAGATCTAGATTTTTAGGAGGATTTGGCGGCTTCATGATGCAAGCAAGAAGAAGAAAACTTTGTGTGAGGCAATATCATGTTGTGTAAAATTCTTGGAGTTTATTCTTTCTTTGCATGCGTGTACTTTAGAATTGGGAAAGGGCTAGCATGTGTTCTTAATTTGTACACTATAATTTTGACTTTATTGTTCATGGACCAGATCCTTTTCCCTACAATAGATATAGATACCTAAATCTCTGTCTGTTAAGTTCTATTTCTATCGCACTATTGGGTTTACTTCGTGGTGCATCATTATTGATCATAGCTAACCATTCCAGATCATAATTTAATAGCATCGTTGTAATAAATTGGTATTGAAATGATATTATGAGATCGATAGCCATAAAGTCAAGGTCAAAAATTTTGATTGGTTGAGGAATTTTGCTGTTTGAGAACCAAGATAGATGGTGCTTTTATCCAATACGGTCTTGTGAAGGCAGGGCATTTGAAGATGTCAACAATACCGACAGAAGATAAAAAAGACAAATATGGATGAAAAAGTACTTATAGCCCATCCAATTGGGTTTGTGAGTGGGGTTCGTCGATGGAGGAGGTCTTGAAGAAATCCACCGTTGAACATTTATGGCTCAAATTGGAGTCTCTATTCATAATCAAAAGCCTCTCCATCAAACTACATCAAACACAAAGGTCGTATTTGTTTCACATGAAGGAATCAAGTTATAGTCAATCAAGTCAAATCTAAATCAGAGTTCAATTATTTATGATTAAAGATACATAATGTGAGTGTTTATGATGATGATCAAGCTTTATTATTCTTATACTCTTTATCTCCAGCTTTCAAGAAGTTTCAAGACAGCATATTGTATGAGAAGATATCATAAGCTTAGCAGATGTGAACAACTCACTTTTATCAAAAGATATGATTTATAAGTTCAAGTGTGTGCCGAAGAAAATTAGGGTAGGGAATTATTCGTGAGTGGTAGAGAAAGGTTCCACCTCCAGATGCAAGTTTATTAGATGGAATAAGACTTATCAAGAAGTAAGGACACATCAAGAAATATTGTATGGCATCGAATAAGAGGGAGCAGTAGGAAAGTGAAAATCATCAAGAGGACAAGACAGTGGATGCGAATACTACTGATATAGATTCAGTTTAAATTTTCTATGACTCGGCATGCTCTTTTGGTTGGTTAGGTTGAAGCCAAATTAACCGCTTAAAATTTTGTGTCTTCTGATTAGTATTTTTTCCATTCTTCTTTTTGTTTATTTAGTGGAGCATCACTTTCAATCCTAAGTGATGATTCCACGTCAACATTTGGATCCCTCATTACTATCTAACTATCAGGAAATTAGCCAGCTCGCCCAACTCAAACATCTCCAATCCCCCAAAACTCACAGATGCACCTCATTAACAAAGAAACTCACAAATCCATACTGAATCACCTGAACCTCTAGCGTTAACTGTAAGAACCCTAGTAAATTGAACAGCTATCCTTCAAAATATATATAAGAACAGACTAGATAGTTACCGCGTCCTCGGCATTGCAGTGATGTTTGTAGATATCGAATAGAAATCGGCATCTCTCCGACAACCAGCCAACATCCCCACCTCCATCGGTCGCAAACAACACGGCGGCGTGGTGAAGCCGGTCGAGCTCGGACCTGATCGCCTTATGAAATAAGGCAAATATCAACATCGGAGAGTTATCCAACGAATTGCTCCCTCCCGAAGCCACCACTGAAGACGAGGAAGCCGAGGAGGAAGCCGCGGCCGGATCGATTGCACTCACCGGCTCCTGCGGCATAAGCGCCACGACTCCATCCCCCACAAATGGCGCCTCCATCTCCGTGAACCCCCACTCGCAGATCTCTCTCCCTCTTCCCCTCCCTCAAGCTCTTTCTCCCTTCCAAGAGCCCAGCGTAGCAGAGTAGCGCGGACGGAGAGAGCACCAGAGGCTTCGTGGCTGATGATAATGGGAGGAGGAAAAAAATTTATTTTATCAGATGGTTCATTATGAAATGTCGTAGATACCCTTACTCTGTTTTGTAAATTGCTAAGAAGACAATAGAAGGCCGCGAGGAAGATGTAGTAAGTAGTAACAGTAAGGGCACTTGGCGGAATTTTACTCATGCCACGTCAGACAGATACTCCGGTCGGCCAGCATTGGGCAAATGTTAGCTTTTCTTAAGGTGACACGTGGATTCCATGGAGAGGTGCACCACGTCAGCAATAGGATTGGGCTACACACGTGTTCGCCGATCGAGAAGAATAAAGAAGGGCTCAATAGTCATTTCACATAACCAAATGCCTTTCTTTAATAGTTCTAAAGTTTTAACAGATTTTGTCTTTATTTTTTATTATTTTTTGAACATATGCTTTTAGGTCGGATTTGGGATAGCATATTTATTATTTTTTAAATAATTTTTAATATAAAATGTTTTAAATTAAATTTTTTTATATTAAAAAAATTACTTTTAAAATAGTTTAAAAAATCTGTCTTAAATAAAGTTTTATTTGAGAATGCTTTCTTATTATTTTCTAAATCAATTTTTTTAGTACAAGTTATACTTAAAAAGCTATTTTATAAAACAATAAGAAAATTATTTCAAACAAAATTATAATCTTTTATAGTTGTTTATGAAATCATAAATAATATAATTTGAATTAATTTCAGGAAATTTAGCTAAATTTGATATATTTAATCAATTTTAGCTAATTTACTTTCAGGTTATTTTGATATAAATTATTTTAAGATGAACTTAAATATTATTAAATTTATTTTAATATTAGTGCAATACAATTTTTTTGTAAATTTTATAAAATAACTTTGGTCATTCATTATGTGATTTCTATCATTTTAAATTTTATAAAATAAATTTGGCCATTCATTATGTGTATTAAATGGAAAGAATAGATAATATGTGGCTAATTTTGGTCTGTTGGTTAGGATTTTTTATTACCAATTAAGAGGCCTCGAGTTCAAGACTTTCATATGTGATTTGTGTGTGAGTTTGTCTTAACTGAACTAAATGTCCAAAAAAAATTAGAGAACGAGGGTAGAAATTAGAACTTTTTTTTTCTAAAATCAACCAAAGGATGAATGAAAAATTATTTATGTACTATTTTTAAGAAATTTTTGTTCTAGAAAGCTTCTTTAGAAAGCAATAAGAAAGTTGATCCAAAGTGACACATCACAAAAATTAACTTGATCCAGCACGAATCACGAGTCATATATAAGTTGAAAACTTTCGAAATTAAATGTGAGACTATACGAACTTTAATTTCAGCAAATTTATAGCAAGTTGAATGTATCAAAGAGAAGAACGCATCGACACTAAAATCGGTCCAATCCGAGTCAAAATGGGTCCGAATTAAGAGTCGATTCGAAGCATATTCGGAAGGTTCAAAGCATTAATTGGATGACAAATTATTTCCAAATATGGCATGCTTATAGTCGAATTGAGTGGCTCGGCGAAGCAAATCCAACGAGCCTAAGATCGTCGAATTTCGACATCATTAAGACAGTTAAATGAAAAATTCTCTATGATCAGGCGAATTAATGTGGGGCTTCCGATGGAGCACTCTGAACCTGCCCCGGATCTTCTTTATATTTACAGGATATGTCACTTATGAAAACCTATAAATAGACTCACTCTTTACATGAAAGGGGACTTTTTGCTACATATTGAAGAGAGCTCTGAGGCTTCAAGATATGCAGCTCAATTGACGGCAAACTTTCGTCGAATTATCACCAGGCTGCCAACTACCACCAGACTTCTGTCGCATCATCACCAAACTTTCGCCCGGCCGCCGACCATTGCTAGACCACTAAAAGGAGCTAGACTTCCACCGACCATCATCAGACCAACGCCTGGCAGCCGACTGTATCTGGACTTCCACCCAGTTGGTAACCACAGTAGGACTTCCGCCTAACCATCGTCGGACCACCGCCCACTGCCATCAACTGCCCAACCACCTACTATGATTGACTACGGTCCCTTCGACATACATCGCATGCCGATTATAGTCCCTCCGACCTTCGTCGCCCACTGACTACAATACCTCCGACTTCCGTTGCCTGCCGACTATTGTCCCTCTGGCCTCCGCACCCACCAACACAATCCCTCTGACCTTTGTCGTCATGCTAATCAAATGAACAGGGCAATATTCTCTTGAGAATGACTCCCTTATCATTGTGTTCATCTAACCCCAATTATGTAATGTTCTCTCTATATATATATAATTACCATGAATATATTTAATTGAAAAAAAATACTCTAATTATATTTATATTAGGAGTTTTTGACATGAATAATTTTTGTCAATAAAATGGGTAATGATATATATACATTTTAAAATTTAACATTGAATTTGAAGTGTTTTGGGCTATAAATAAACCGAATTACATCAAGTAAGAGATTGCTCGAGCTTGTGCTTGCATGCTAAAACCCCATTCAAGTTAAGCTCGAGCTCGATTCAAGTATTTCTAATAATTATGAAGCTCATGTTGGTCAAATCATAGTCGTTTGAGCTTGGTTTGCTCGGGTTCAATTCAAATTATTTGGGGCAGAACAACAAGTTGTATTATCAATATTAGCTAATCAAATGAGTCTTATCGAGCCTATTAAACAACAAAATTATCGAGTAATTTGATAGATAGCAAATTAACAAGAAAAACTATTCAACAGCCTCGTAGCTAATCAAATAAATCTTATCAAACAACTTCTTAATGAGAATTAAACATACATAAATTTACTTAATTACAAATCATTCAAAATTCTATGAAGAAAAAATAAATTAATAATCAAAGATTTAATCATTTATTGAATTTATTATAGTCTTAATCAAGTATTTTACTAAGTTCTAAATCAATAGATTATTAAGTCTTAATCTTTGTTTGGGATAGCTTAAGGCTTCGTTTGGAGCAGCTTTTGGCCACTAATTTTTCGTTGCTTTCAAAAAAATTTTGAACTACAAAACTGTTTTGAGAAGTAGTAAGAAAATTGTCACAAATGAAAGTTTTTCTATTTTTACTTTTTAAAGTTCCTTTTCTGTCACAACTTCAAAAATATTTTTATAAAAATAGCTTTTTGAAGACAGAAGTTTCAAAAAGCGGTGAAAAATATGTCTTCAAAACAAACATTTTTTATTAACCGCTTTTCTTATAAAAAAATAGTCTTCTAAATGCACATCATGGCTTCGTTTGAGACGGTTTTCTTACTACTTCTTAAAGCAGCTTCCTAGTATAAAAATTTTAATTTTTGTACAAAAATTGCTTTAAAAAACAATAATAAAACCGTCCCAAACGATGCCTATGTTTTACCAACAACTTTTCTTACCACAAAAATATTAAAAAAAAATTATTTCAAATAAAGCCTTAATTGAACTTCTTAATAAATTTATTTACTAGCTTTATATGATATTATTCATCATCATAATTGAATGGCGCACTTAACTATTCAAATTTATTCATTTAATAATAAAGTATTTATTAAAATGTTTAAATTTAGTCCATTATTTAATTAAATCTTTTTTTATTATTTGAATTAGCATACAAATAATAATAATAAAAGAAAAAAAATTGAGTTAATGAGGACACGGAATTTCCATGAGCCCTGCTCGAGAGCCGTTGCAGCGGGCACGTGAGGCGCTGGGTTCGGGAGCGTGCCGCCGATTGAATAGATTCGTCTAAAATGTCAAACACATGAGTTGGAGTAAGATTGTTGATATGGAATCTAAAGTGGAACATAAAATTAATAGAGTTTTGTTAATACAAAAGTTATCCAATTATATAAGGATGAAGATAATGCCCGCTTGAAACCCTAATCTCCTGCAAGATCTTTGGTTGCGTAAGTGCCTACTTTAGTGATTTCGTAGATTACCAGTGCTAGGCTGGCATCATAATTGTTCGATAATAGTATTCTCGATCATAAAGCCTCTTAACTTTCAGACATTTTTTAAGATCTTTTAAAACTTTTTCTTTGCATTTACTTATTTTCGCTAGCTGGTCGATTTTCTCGAGATCATTATCGGTGGCATAATAAACTTACAAGACTTTCTTTGCCAGCTTCAAAGTCTATAGGACTTATCCTCTATTGTTTTTCTCATTGAATCTAATTAAAGATTATATGTAGAGTTGAGATTCACTTAATTTTTTAAAAAAAATAAATTTTCTCATATATGTAAGAAATCTTAGAAAAATTATATATTATTAGGGATTTAAGGATGTCAAATTTAGGTTTCGTGTTGAACCAGGAACTGACCCAGGTTTAAACGGCTTAACTCGAATCCGATGCAATTTTATAAATGAGTCAAAAATACAAATCTAGACCCAACCCGTCAGGTTACTGGGTTTGTATTTGCGTGGGTGAGTTCATTCTAGACTTGGTGAGTTCACGTTGAACCTTTACCAAAATGACTTGGATTGAACTCAGCCATTTTAGATTGAACTAGATTTACTTCATTTGAACTTAAGTTTCATATATTTAGGCTTCATTTGGGATGACTTTCTTACGTCTTCTTAAAGCATCTTTCTAATACAAAAATTAAAAATTGTGTACTAAAAATTACTTTAAGAAGCAGTAAGAAAGCAATATCAAACGAAGCCTAATTAGCGTCTTGGCTCATATGTAGGTGTGATTTTATGATTTTACTACAAAATTATCTCCATAATCGCATAATGCAACTTTGATAAACTCTAAAATTACATATATAACCATGTAAGAAGAATTAAAAGCCAATAATCCACTAGAAGCCAAGCAATGTGGAAGTGTGACAAGAATGCCCACAATGAATTAATGATGAAGACATATTGGACTAGAGCAAAGAATACAATACCAAATTGTATTATGGCTAATGATGCTAGTGAGGTAAGAAAAAAGATTTTTTTTTTTTTGTAATTTGAATATTATATTAAAACAAAATAAAAATTAATTTTAAATAGTTAAAATATAACTTTTAATTAGTTTT